GATGGGGGGGAGCTATAAGATTCCTGAAAATCAATTTCAAAGAGAGAAATAGCTCTCAAAGTTGAAGAAAATGCTGTGATGATATTAAAATTCAGTATGTGCCAGGAACTGTGCTAAGTCCTAATTATTCTGTACTCTTTGAAAATGTCATTGCTAATGTTACATTCACAACTACTTTACATGGAGGATACTGTGACTATACCATTGTATAGATGAGGAAACTGAGGCTTAGTGACAGTAAGTGAGTCACCAAGGTCACATTGCCAGTAAGCTGTGAAGTTAGGAAGGGACCCAGGCAGTCTGATTCTGAATGGGCTCTTAACTTTCCTGTCATCCCAATGCTTTACTCTTGGCTCTGGGAGGAATCTGCCTTGAGGGCCTATATAAAGGATGTGGAGCAATATAACTAAGAAAACCAAACCAAAACCCAAACTCACTGCCATCAAGTCGATTCCAACTCATAGCGACCCCTCCTTGTGTTTCCAAGGCAGTATCTCTACAGAAGTAGATTGCCTAGCCTTCCTTCCCAGGAGTGGCTGGTAGGTTTGAACCACCAGCCTTCTGGTTAGCAGTCAAATGCCTTAGCCACTATACACCAGAGATCCTATACAATTAACAAGGTATTCCAAAATGGTTTATAAAATGCAATGTCATAACAAATTATATTTCTGAGATGGCTCCTGGAGAAAGTAGAAGCTGCCGTTCTGAGAAGACAAGTCTAAGGGAGACTGGTTCAGCTCTCCAACATTGGCAAGAGTGGTATAGCAGCACAGTAGCTAGAAACCCAAGCTCTGGAGTCAGACTTCCTAGGTTCAAAAGTTGTCTTTGCCAGATTGGAAGACTGCTGTGACTGATTGGTGTAGGGGAGTGGCTTTTGTGGCCACACTGTATACAAAAGCATTTGGTGACTGGACTTGATGGCTACACTGAGCATGTGGGCCATCAGGTAGTTGTGCTAGCAGCCATGAGTTGTCAGCAGGAGTTGGCATGTCCAGCTAATAAGCTTGGAAATGAGGTTCAGCTAAGGAGCACCTCCCAATAGAGTGAAAAGGACAAGGGTAGGGAGACTGGGGAAATAAACTCTGTCTGCTCTCCAACATTGCTGCTGTTGTTGTTGTTATGTGCCATGGAGTCGAACTCGACTCATAGCGACCCCTCCTTGGGCTTCTGAGGCAGTATCACTATGGAAGTAGATTGCCCAACCTTCCTTCCCAGGGGTGGCTTGTGGGTTTGAACCACCAGCCTTCTGTTTAGCCGTCAAATGCCTTAGGCACTATGCTATCAGTTGTTGTTGTTGTTATGTGCCGTCGAGTCATACCTGACTCGTAGCGATCCCTCCTTGGGTTTCCGAGGCAGTATCACTATGGAAGTAGGATTGCCCAACCTTCCTTCCGAGGAGTGGCTGGTGGGTTTGAACCGCCAGCCGTCTGGTTAGCAGGCAAGTGTCTTAGCCACTATGCTACCAGAGCTCCCATGCTTTCAGAGCTTCTTCAACATTGCTTTAGGCATTTGAATTCACTCTCCTAAGCAAACACCCATAAATTGGTGATCTTCCACAGTGCCTTGTATACTGGCACCACACCCAGCTGGGAGATCCACAGAGCTACAGGCCTACCTTGGTCGCTGCCTCACCTCACTTTCTCCTTGGCATCATTAAAGCTTTCAGCCACATAATACAGGGGCTGGAACTCTGTGATGGTGTACTCTTGGACAGCTGTCTTCTCCAGCTCCAGGGGGAGGAGCTTTGGCTTGTCTGATAAGCAGTACTGTAGGCCCCAAGTGGAAAGTTTCCTCAGTTAAATCAGGGTCTGTGGTCCCTGGTACCTCCCAGAAGCCATGGGTGCATCTTCTCCTATGTCACCTTGGTTCCTTCCGCAGCCCAGCCGAAATGCAGTGAACTAAATTATTTTGGATGTCCTAGATCCTACCCTTCATAGTCTACCTAAAAGTTTCAGCCCAGATAGAAGGGAATAATTCACCCCAAATATTATCAAGTAAAGAGATCAGTAGAAGATGTGGGGGTCAACTACACTTTCAGATACATGTTTGCTTACATGTGTAGGTGCAGTCCAACCTTGAAATCAGGGAGGCCTCTCTTTCCTGAAGACCTGTTACTTGCCCCTGCTACCTCTAATACTTATAAGCAAACAAACAATTCATTGTCATTGAGTCAATTCAGACTCATAGCAACTCTACAGAACAGAGTTGAACTGCCCCATTGGGTTTGCAAGGCTGTAAATTTTTACAGAAGCAGACTGTCTCATCTTTATCCCATGATGTGGCTGACAGATTAGAAATGCCAAACTTTCAGTTAGCAGCTGAATGCTTTAGCCACTGTTCTACCAGCACTCCTATGACCAAATTTCAGCTGCTAAGGCACCAATCACTGAGGATGAGACCCCAGAGTACATCTCAAAATGGCTATAATGAATTTCAACATCATCAAGAAAACAAGAATGATTTCCTGTTCCTACCCCCTACAAATCCATCCTTCGTTCCTGTTAGGGTCATACCTGTAATTCACCAAAAGATGACAGGAGCCCAGCACCATATGCCTTTATGGAGTCTCCTTGCTTGCAGAGCCCAAACTCCACAGTAAACCAGTAAATCTGAAACAGAAATTCAAGCTGAGAGCACACCTCAAGGAACAGGAAGACAGTAGATGTCCTATGGCTAAGGACAGCAATGGGAGTCCATGCAGTTCTGTTCTCTGAGTCACCATGACCTAGGCTCACTTCCTATGTCCTATGTCTCACCCTACCCAGTCACCTGTTGAATCATTAGCTGTATGAATGCAATATGTGATAGGAGGCCATGAAGGATATTGAGGAAGCCCCAAAAGAGGGAGCCTCAAAAAGACACCTTCAACATTCATGGCAGCATCTCTTCAATACCTTTTCTTTCTTCCCTTTAGCATCAACTAGAGTGAGATATCTCACTAAATTGGTCAGACTTATCAGGCAATCCCTTCAGGCTCAACAGTGGGATGTTGAGGGGGATTTGGTGATGGAATGAATGATAGGAGAATCTCATCGTTCATGCCACTGCACTTCACCTCCCAAAATAACTAACTCCTTTTCTTTCAACAGCTCCTAGTCCAACATGTCCTAAATGTTTGGCCTAGGGAAGATTGTCCTGGAATTCTGGCATAATCCTATTGGCTGGGGCCAAGAGAAACCCAGAGGCCAATTAGATGCTGGAGAAAGCCACTGTCTTAGAGAATGCGAGGTGGGTTACTAGTTAAGTCTGTTCATTGAACTGCTATTGTTAGGTGATGTCCAGGCAGCCCCTGACACAGGGTGACCCCATGCACAACAGAAGGAAACATCACTTAGTCCTGTGCCATCCCCATGATCAGTTGAGGATCAGACCCTTGTGATCTGCTGGCCAATTTTTGGAATTAGATTGCCAGGCCTTTCTTCCTAGTCTATCGCAGTCTGGAAGCTCCTCTGAAATATATTCAGCATCATAGTAAAATGCAAGTTACCTCTGACAGATGGGTGGTGGCCGTGCATGAGGTCCATTGACTGGAAATCAAATCCAGGTCTCCCATATGAAGGGCAAGAATTCTATCACTGAACCACCAATGGCTCATTCCATTGGCTGTTGTTGTTTGTTGTTATGTGCCCTCGAGTCGGAACCGACTCACAGCGATCCCTCCTTGGGTTTCTGAGGCAGTATCACTACGGAAGTAGATTGCCCAACATTTCATTGGCTAGAGAATGTTAAACCTTGGAAGACTGGCAGAGCTCAGTTGGAGTGACCTCCTCACATAGAGGAGAGGAGTCTTCAGCCCAGGGAGGTGAAACGATGTGCATAAGGTTAAAGAGCAAAAACCCAGTATATAAATAATAAAATATTGGGTTTTTTTTTGTTTTTGTTTTTGTTTTTTTGAGAAGGTAGATACTTTGATCATTGTTAAAGCAAATAATATGACACCATGAGTTCCTTACAAGTGACTTTCCTTCTTACAAGTAACGGATTCTATCTAGTTTTGCAATTTCTTTGAAAGCTGCTTCTTGCATCTGTATAGCATCTGACATTTTAAAAATCATGTATACAAAAATCTAAATCTTTAGACCTACATGATGGACTTTTGAGATGGACAGGATGTGAACTATACTACTCATTTGAATTATGCTGTTGGGGAAGAATATTGAATACATGATGGATTGCCAGAAGAATGAACAAATCTGTCTTGCAAGAAGTACATGCAGATTGCTCCTTAAAAGCAAGGATGGTGGGACTTCTTCTCACACACTTTGTACACGTTATCATGAGGATCCAGTCCTGGAGAAGGACGTCATGATTGGTAAAGTAGAGGTTCAGCAAAAAAGAGGAAGACCTTCAACAAAATGGATTGACACAGTGGCTGCAACAATGGACTCAAACATAGCAACAATTGTGAGCACGGTGCAGGACTGTGTAGTTTTTGTTCTATGGGGTCACTATGAGTCAGGGCTGATTCAATGGCACCCAACTACAACTGATTTTTAGAGATGATGAAAAAGTAGCCACTTGCCCAGGGTCTCAGAGCAACTGCTCAGTGGGAAGGAAACTTCTGGGACTGTTTGGTCTTTCTGATTAATTGGATTTGTAAACTTCTTTACATACTCATACTTCTTTTACTTCTTTTTTTTTTTTTTTTTAATTTTTATTGTCATTTGGGTGAAAGAAGTTGAAGTCCACCCCCATTTCCACCTTTGTGTTTGTGGAAGGAAAGAGCCTAATGCTAGCTTCAGTGCAAAGGTTGAGATGTAAATATTCCCTCTTCAAAGTTGTGAAGCCAGACTACTTCATATAGGCACTTTATACAAAAAAGTATAAAGCTAGAAGGTTCTCAAAGGTTATTATTAAAGCCTGAGGAGTTTTGAAGACAGTTTAAAATTACATGTAAAAATCTATATGCACCCAATTTCAAAATTAAACCAATAAGAGGACATCAAAACTTCACGTTTGTAAATGAATCTGAGTGCTTTCTGGTATTTTTCCCCCAGGGGAAGAGCAAAGCTTCAAAGATCTGATGACTGTGGTCTCTAGGATTCCCACCATCCACCCAGGGAGAGAAGGGACTTCCAGATTACCGTAGCAAGTTTCTCAACATATTCATCAGGTGCACCCAGAGAGGCAAGGCCAATTTCCTGTAATTGTGAAGAAACAGAGTCACTGGCAAAGCTGGGCTCTGCCCATTTTCAGCCTTTACCACCAGCACCAAACTTGCACTTGATCAGGAAGGTGGTGTGTGGCCAGATACCTTCTAAAGAACCCAGACTCACCTTAACTGTTTTGTCAAGCTTTGCCTGTTCACAATGATAGCATGACAGATTTCCAGAACAGGGGACACCTGTCACCATCACTTAGTTCTTTGCATTTACTTTACAATGAGAGAACCCTGAGGCTCAGAGAAGGGAGGTGGCTTCCCCAACATCACATTGTAAGTTAGTGTCTGAAGCTTCAGCTTCTCACTCCTGACCAGAGGTCATACCACCGCAGCACAACTGGAACATTCCTGGAGAACTTGTATGAGTGTTAATCATGTAACGTAAATATCACAGAAGAACTACAAAGAAGTGGTTGACAGCCACCCAGATATAAACATAGTGGGAGAGTCTGAAATGTGATAGACAAGTTCTCATCACAGCTCCAACAGCAGAATTGCTCTGCAGATCTCATTGACAGCATTTGCCCCACCCTGCTTTGCACTGAGTTATTTATGTATTTATTAATATGTTTCTGTTTCTCTTCCCTACTATGTACATTCATTCATTTAAAAAAAATCTAGTGTTCACTGAATGCCTTATATGTGCTAGGCAGATTACAAAGTCAATAAATACCATTTTCCGATCATATCTAAATTTGAGTGGGTGGAGATAGACAATAAACAATAAGAAATAAGAAAGCAAAGTAGAAAAGGGGAATGGGATGAGGAGGGCCAGAGGAGTGAGAGGAGGTTATGGTTTTAAATAGAGTTGCAGGGTAAGCATCACTGAGAAGCTGATGCTTGAGCAAAGTCTTGAAGGAGGTGAGGTTGTTGACTCTGGTGACATTAGAGGGAAGAGCAATGTAGACCAAGTGTACAGCTAATCCAAGAGATTTATAAGGCAGGGAGTTATCAGTGGGTTCAAGAAACAGTGAGAGACTGGTGTGGCTGAGCAAAGTATTTGAGCAAGGGGGTAGTGAAAGATGTTATCAAAAAGGGATCTTGGACCAGATCATGTAGGGCCTTTGTGGCCAATTTAGGGCATGGGCTTTTACTCTCAGTGAAATAGAAAGCCATTGAAGAGTTTTGAACAGGAAAGTGATGACATGATCTGACTTACGTTATCAATGACTGAATCTGATTGCTGTGTGAGAATAGACCATAGGGGTCAACAGCATAGGCCAATAGAGGCTACTGCAGTCACTCAGATGAGAAACAAGAGAGATTGAGGCCAGATTGATAACAGTGGATGTGATGAGAAATGGTTAGATTTTCCACAAACCATTAGATGGGAAATAGTTGATTTTTGAAGGTAGAGTACCCAAAATTTTCTGAAAGATTAGTTATGGGGCACATGGGAAAGCAAGGAGTCAATGATGGTGCCAAGTTTTTTGGTTTGGGCAACTGGAAGGATGAAGTTACCAAAACTGATATGAGGAGGGCTTTCAGTAGAGAAAGGTGAAGTTTGACTCTTCCTGCCTTGAAACTGCCCAGATTACAGTTGGACCATGTGATACATCTGCTCAGTAGTTTCCATCTATCGACTCCAATAACTATAACTGTTTATGACCCTGTGGGGCTGTCTCCAAGTGGAAATGGTTAAAGAGGATTGCCACTTAACCTATGACCTGGCAGAATAGATGAGGAGTGAGAATAAAAATTTTCCATTCTTTAGTTTAAAAACAAAACAAAACAACAACAAAAAAATTTCCCATTCTTTAGTTTAAAAACAAAACAAAACAAAATTCTTGGCCATAGTGACAAGTCCTGGTTTTAAAGCTGTCCTAAGTACTCAATGGCATCTTGGCAGTAGTAAGCAAGCTTCTGAAAGCCAGCTGGGCAGCAATAGCCTGATGCCAGCAGTGACACTTCCACAGGCAAAAATCCACGTATCTTGAAAAATGTCCACTTCTAAAAGTCCAACAATCTCTGAACTCCACAACTCTTAAAAACCCACATAAGTGCATTAGTGTTCTTTGTTTGGAGAGACTGTGTTTTACAAGTATAGTTCTCCCTTACTTAGCAAGCAACATGTTTGGTTTATTTGTTTCAAATATTA